TCAGCCTCCCGAGTAGCTGGGATTACAGGCACGCACCACCATGCCCAGCTAATTTTTTGTATTTTTAGTAGAGACGGGGTTTCACCGTGTTGACCAGGATGGTCTCGATCTTTTGACCTCGTGATCCACCTGCCTTGGCCTCCCAAAGTGCTGGGATTACAGGCTTGAGCCACCGCGCCCGGTCCGAATAATATCTCTAAGTAAATATATTTTCTCTAAATAATATACTGCTTAACTTTGTAAGTTTTTGCACTTTCTATAAATGTGCCATGTATCTCTGTAACTTGCATTACTCCTTCCACATTGTATTTCTGAGAGCCTTCTATGTTTTAAATAGCTTCTTGTTCAATTCTATGTATTGCTTACTAGTTAGCCTTCAAAGTGAATATACTAAGACCTACCCGAGAGAGAATTCTTGTGGGATAATGAGTATAAAGTGTTTAAAGCAGTTCCCCATTCATGATAGGTATTCAACATTATATACATAATACTATATACAATATTTTAGTAATGAGTAATTATATACACATTATCATGATTGCTCCTTTCTTTGTGGATGTATATTATTCCATCAACTACATTATGAACTAATAGTTTTCTTTCTTTTGGGGGGGGGGACAGGATCTGGCATTGTTGCCCAGGCTGAGTACAGTGGTGTGACCATGGCTCACTGCAGCCTGAACCACCCAGCCTCAAGTGTCCTCCCACCTCAGCTTCCAGAGTAGCTGGGACTATAGGCACTGCCACCACTGGCAGCTATTTTTAAAATATTTTTTTGTAGAGATGGGCTTTTGCCATGTTACCTAGGCTGGTTGCTAACTCCTAGCTCAAGTGATCTGCCCACTTCAACCTCCCAAAGTGTTGGGATTACCAGCGTGAGCCACCATGCCTGGCAAGAGTTTTCAAACTACAGTAAAATCCAAGATACAGAGATCTTTGGGAAATGCCTCATTCTAGGTATTTGAAGCTTCCAGATAGCTAAGATAAAAAATTTTTACATAGTAACTTATTTCTAAGTGCATGCTTTTACATTTAAGCAAACTGAAAATATGACCTTTATAAAAAATGTCAGCCATTTCCAAATTATCTTCAACCGTGTCTAGAAACATACATGACAGAACTTTGGCAGGACGGTGCAAACTGTTGTGTGTTCTGTTTTCAAAATATTACTTAACTTGTACACTTCCACACATTGGCATGACACATCATTGCCATTTCTCATATGTTCCTGTACTTCACCAATTTCCGCAGCTGTCAGAGAGAGAGCAGCCCAGGTGACAGAAATGAAGCTGTCGAGCTCTGAGTCCTTACCAGGAGGACTTCTGGGATCCAGAGTCTTTGCATGGGGCAGACAACATATTCTTAGAGGCCATTCATTTTTTTCCACAGTAGCGTCCGGTGTCAGTTTCCACTCCGCTGCCTGAGGGCAGGTGGATCTTGTAAGCTCTCACTGATGGATTTGTGGTCACTGCCTAGCACCCTGTGCCAAAGAGGACTGGGAAGTCACGTTTGGGAAAGAATCCTCTGACTTATGACTGGCATCTGAGAAGCTCCCAGCATGGCTTCTCCTACTTGTAATAAGATGATGTCAAATGACTCCAGGGCAGTGTTCTGGTTCCCATGAACACACCTGGTCACTGTGAGAGCTTCTGAGTCAGTGAGCTCTCTCCTTACATCCTGATACATTGTTGTTCACGAGAACATATTTTTATAGGCATGGAATTTGTGTTTTGGATTTGCACCCTGGCTCAGGTATGAATTTGTTTAAAAGGATAATTTAACATTTTCAGGAAGCTGAACACCTTTAAATCCTCTTTCAATTCTTTCTAGTTTTATTGCGTTAATGACCCACAAATGTGATATATATACTTTTTGTTCTTCTATATTCACTAAGGATGCTTTTTGTTTTCAGAATATGACCAAAGATATTTCTATTTCTTTGCAAGTCTGTTGGCTCAGTTTCTGAAAAGTTCATTTTGTTACCATGTTCTTTTGAGTATATACATACAGGTTAGTTAGGTTTACAGTTTTCCTGTGCTTTTCATTTTTTTTTAAATACATGTTTCTGGCCCTCATTCTCTCAGACTTTTCCTTCCATGCATAGGGATCTAATGTCTGTCAGTTAAGACTCACATAGCAAGAACAAGCAAGGGAAGGAGACAAGGCTGAAGAGGCAGGCACCAGGTTGTCTGATCTTTTACTCTGCTGTAATGAGTAGACAGTAGCAGGGTTTACACAGGGATGGGGGTACGCATATTGTGGGTAAGCCCCCATGTAGGCACTGAGGAAGGAGAGCTAAGCAGAATCCTGGCACAATTACGGCCTGAAGAATATCAGTTTATAGTGTTACTACTCAGTGATTTCCTTTTGTATAATCCTTTATATTATCATATATTAGTTTATAGAATTAGGGCTTGGAGAATATCTCAGTTTATAGTGTTACTACTTAGTTATTTCCCTTTATATAATCCTCAATATATAATCATGTTGGTTCATAGAATGAGTGCCTAAAGAATATCCTACCACTCAGTTATTTCCACATATATATATATATATATATATATATATATATATATATATAAACTATATCTTAGTTCATAATGGGAGGAATGCCTGGAGTAGACACACTACAGAGCATGAATTAAGGAAAAAGTAGCTTATAGTCGGAGGAATGTCTCGAGCAGATACAGTGCAGAGCATGATTTAAGGGAAAACAGTTACACCACGACAAGAACCCATGGCCCAGGTGGCAGCATTCAGTATCATAAAGATACCGGCTGTATGGCAGGCTTGGGGCAAGAGCCACTCCTCCTGATAAAGGAGTTGTAGGACCTTGCTCCAGTTCTTGTGGGGGGCTGCCCTCAGACTGACAATCCCTCGAGCATCCGAGGGCCCAAAACCCCTCCGGATAATCGCACCTTGGTGACTGTGAACTTTATCGGCTCTTGTTACTGTGCTGCTCGAAAAGCATTCTCCTGTAGAACTCACTGGAAGCTGCCAGCAGGTGGCAGTAACCCTGACAGCTCTGTCATTGCTGTGTGACTTAAAGCATCCTCCATAAATCTTCTTAGAAGTAGCTTGCCCATAGATAGAGGTATTGCACACTGCACCCTCCTCACTGCGCACAGCCCACCTCCATGCCTCGGTGACATAATGGGGGTGGACCCCTTACTGCACACGGCCCTTGCTTTGATGACCTAAGGGGAATGGGCCCCTTGCTGTGCACTGTCCACCTCCGAGCCTAGGTGACCTAATGGGGGCGGACCCTTGTTTTATTGCTTACGACCCTATCACTATCCTTAAAGATGACTTCACTCACTGCCCTGCCCCCTAACCCATACACAATAAATACACACGCTTCTGAACATTCGGGGCCTTGCCTGACTCCACTCACAGGTGGCGTGGTCCCCCGGGCCCAGCTGCATTTTCCTTGTACTTCTGTGTCCTGTCTCTTCATTTCTCGGATCCTGCGCCTCAGCACAGCATAAGGGACACCCCACAACCCTGTGGGGCCCTCAGCCCTGCACATATACCATGTTTTCACATTTTCAAGAGATTACTCTGGATGCTGATTGGATACTGGACTGTAGGAGGGCAGGACAGGATGCAGGGAGGTTGGAAGATCTTTGGCAATAGACCAGTGGGAGAGGAAGGTGACTGAAACTGGCTGTGAAAATGGAGATGGTCAGTCAGGATGCTGGTTGCCTGCAGACCCACAGGACTGGCTGTGTGGTTGCATGGAGGTTGGGGGAGAAGGGAAAAGAGTCAGGGATGCCTCTTGGTGCTCCCCTCAGGGAAGAGGACCCAAGCCTCGTGGTTATCAACAGATGAGTGGCATTTAAAGCTATGAGACTGTGTGGGATCATTCTGAGAGGATCACTAGAAATCTGGTGGAGGAGGAGCACGAGGAAGAAGATAAAGGTGAAAGGGAATCCGAGAGGGAAGGTTGTTAAAACCCAGACTAATGGGCTTCAAGGAGGAACTCCTCAATTGTAACATCTGTGTCAAATGCAGCTAAATGACTGAGGTAAAAGTCATTTCAGCAAAGTACCCTGGAGGAAAACCAGAAAGGAGTGGGTTCAAGAGAGGACATGAGGCGAGGTACTTGCATGGAGCAGAGAAACAGAATGGTAAATAGAAACCTGGGGTCAAAGGTCTATTTGTTTAATGCACAGCATCAATGAATGCTTGTGTGTGGATACCAGCAAGAAATCAGTACAGAATTCTGGGGTCATAGCCGGACAAGACTCCTCAGCTCCAAATTTACTTGAAGTTACAGCTTCCATCTTTAAAACCTTGAAAATCAATGGGATTTTTTTTTTTTTTGCCATCTATTTCATAATACAGGATGTGACACAGAATATATCCCAAATTCTTACTTTCCTGGGAGACCATGTCTCAGTTTTTAATATCAAACTGCATAGTAGCTATTTATCTCACAAAACATTTTTCAGGCTGGGTGCAGTCAGTGGCTCATGCCTGTAATTCCAGCACTTTGGGAGGCCAAGGTGGGAAAATTGCTTGAGCCTAGAAGTTTGAGACCAGCCTGGGCAATGTGAAGGGATGTAGTCTCTACAAAAAATTGCCTGTTTTGGAGCTTCATGGAAATGAAATTGTGCGGTATACATTTGTTTGGATCAGGCTTCTTTCAGTCAACATTATGTTGGTGAGATTCACCAACTATGCATGGCAGTTTTTTTTTTTTTTTTTT